GCTTCAGGCTGCCACCCCGGTCCCCATTCTCCATGGGGTTAGGCCTGTGCCAGGGAGGCACTCTTGCGTAGGGAGCCCTGAAGACATCGTTGCAACTCATTCTCTTGGTTTTCTGAACAATAATTCGTCTTCGGGTTCGAAAACTTTAGAGAAAGTACAGTCTGAGTCTAAGGTATTAGGAAATAGTCATGCCGGAGAAAGGGATAAACATGGACTAGTGAGGTCGAATAGTAGTGCTAAGGCGGATAAATTGGATAAGAAAATAGGGTATTTTGACAGAACAAAGTCTCAGCCATCAAAACCTGCATTAACTATAGATATGAAGAGGGAACCTTTGCCGAGAATGAAGTCATTGAATTCACGGTCTATCCCGTCATCTCCATCAAGTTGTTATTCTTTGCCGACTTCTATTGAGAAATTTGCAAATGGGGTCAAGCATCATGCAAAAGTTAAGGGAACACCAAAGGTGGGAGTGGTGGAAAAGGCAAGTTCTGTTCGTGGGGCGAGTCCCGGAAGGAGATCAGTGGTGGGAAACCCGATAAAGAATTTTGTTCAGGGGTTTGAGCTGGGGGCCAAGGCCCTGAGGAAGAGCTGGGAAGGAAATATGGAGGTGAAGACTAAAGAGAGTTCAAAAGTGAGGGCTACTGCACATGATTCAAAGCTAGACGTTCGGATGTCTGTAAGTTCAATAATTCTTGAATCTTGAATTGGAATTTGTGTCAATTTAGGTTTTACTGGATGTTTGTTTGTGTACATGTAAGTTTGGTTGATTTATTTTTATTTGTTTTCTGTATTTGATAATGATTTCTTTGGAGGTCCCGTTTGGTATCCTTCTTGGATCCAATTTTTTTCAAACTAATGAATAATAAGTACTTTAGTTGCATTCATCATTTTTTTAAAACTATAAATCATTTTCAAATTGATACGAAACACCCCAAATTTTCCCATGAGGTGGATCTTCAAAGAGAAAATTTTGATTTGGAGATAAGCAACTCAAAATTAAATGTGCCAGCATTTATGAATTGTATTTGAAAACTCTTGTCTTTTCTCACTGGTTTTCATTTGATCTTGTTGTAGTTCCAAAAGATGTGGGAAGTAATTCAATGTTAGGTATTATTTGTCCTCTTATATCTAATATTAGAAAGAAAAAAAAACGGTTTTACCAGGCTCCTAGAAAAAGTATCTCAACTGAAAGGTTGCCATATAAAGAGGACAATAGGACCCAGATATCTGCAAAGTCATTGAAGGAGGAGAGTAAAGTTCAAACATCAACAAAGAAAGTTACAGCAAATGGAACTTTGAGTGATCTAGACAGGTCAAGTAAACTTAGAGTATCTGTTGGAAAGAAATCTTCAGATGTAACCAGTAATGGATTTCCTGGAAACTTCATCAAGGTTTCCTTAAATAATAGAAAATTGACTGATGGAGTTCCATGGGCTTCGCTCCCATCGTCAGTTGCAAAGCTTGGAAAGGTATATCTTCTGTAACATCTTAGATCTTGGTAATTGTCTCCACATAAATCGTTATTTGCCTGCCTATTCAATGAACTACAGTGTTTTCCTTCTGAAATTTCATTACGTAGAGACTGCTGAAGTGAACTAGAGAATATTATAAAAGAATGAAGTGACCAGATAGCTGTGGTCCCAAATTGTTCATGCATATAGGGTTATGAGTTTGTGTTAATTTCTTAGTTTTTGTTCTGCTTTGCGCGCATTGTCTTTCTGACCCTATTTTCTTAAATAGGAGCCAAGTTAGTGAATGGGAATTTCCTTTTTAAGTCTGAGAAGGATATTAACTTTTACCTTAGGAATGAATTTTAGTGACATCTTTTCTGGTATCTGAAGATATATTATGTTCTACAGCTCAGCACTTCGTTTTTCTTATTATATACTTTTGAATCTGTTATCACAGGAAGTTATGAGGCACAGGGATGCTGCACAAATGGCAGCAATAGAGGCGATGCAGGAGGCTTCTGCTGCAGAGAACTTACTACGATGTTTGAGGTATAAGTTATAACCACATCGTATTGTGTTTGTCCATTCTTTTCCATAATATATCTGAGTACAACAAACGAGTCGAATTAAGGAAGTAAAGTTGTATATGATATAGTTATTGGACAATAAAAATGGTTGGACATTCAAACCTAGAAGATATGGAACAGTCAATAGAACTTTCTGAGTAGCGTAGTGTTATGTTTATTTTTTTAGTAGTTATTGACAGTATAATGCAAAGATATAATCCTTAGGGAATCCATGAGTCAGCTAGATCACTTCAATTGCGTTTTTGTTGATGGTATATATACTTATTACTTTCATAGTATACTCTCATGAGAAAATACATGAATTGTGAAAATACTGAGAAAATACATGAATTGTGACATCAGTAATACATGAATCGTAGTATACTTATCACTTCAAAATTGTAGTTTGTTTGATAACACTGAGAAAATACATGAATTGTGATGTCAGTAATATACTCAAACTAGGTCCGGGAATGATGGATTAGAATTTCGAATAATTAAAAGATACCCAGAAGTGACTATTTCAACACCTTGACATGATCAAGAAAAATGCAGCTTTATAAAAAATGCTTTTGTGAAACTAGGTGGTCAGCACATAAGGGTAGAGTGTTTTACCCAATCTAATAAGTTTTCAATAACCTGGTATTCGGCCGTCCGTGCTTTATGGTTTAGAGAGAATTTGTTGTACAATCAAGAATAGCCTGTGCTTGAAATAGGACACTAGAATGTGGGTGAAAGTTTGATTTGTACTTTGGAATGAATGGCACAGATGCTTAGGTATCGAAAGCTTTTTAATAGGGAATTTGGGAACATCAAACTAGGGGAAAATGCAATCCTGCATTATTTTCTTGACATTTTGTACTCAATTATGTGACTTCTTCCATAGCTCTCTCATCTTTCATTTATACTTCTAATTGTGACCAAGATTAATCTGCGTATCCGTGATTTTTTTCTATTAGGATTTTTTGTGGAGGCATAATGTTTCCAGAATTTTATATGATGTGAATTTTTCCATGGTTCTTGTCTAAGTACTCTAGTTCATTGTCTGACAATTTTTTTGTCCTTTCTTCCTCTGTCCTGCAGCATATATTCAGAGCTAAGTACCTCTGCCAAGGAAGACAACCCTCGGCCTGCAGTAGAGCAGTTTCTTGCCCTCCATACTAGTTTGAATAATGCTCGCGTAGTTGCTGATTCTCTATCCAAAATCATGCCAGCTGGTTCTTCCCCAGACCGTGAAGAAACCCCCCCATCAGAAGAAGTACTGAAGGTAGCTTCAGACAGACATAAACAGGCAGCATCTTGGGTACAAGCTGCATTAGCCACCAATCTGTCATCTTTTGCTGTATTTAATAAAGAGTCCAGTTTAACCTCTGTTCAAGCTTCAGCTTCCTCTCAAAACCAAAATATTGTCTCTGCAAATCAACCCGTGTTAGTTCTAGAAAATTCTACAAAGAATGCTTCAACAAAATCCCAAGGCAAACTTCGCCAGACGGTGGGTTCCAAGCTTGGGACACCAGGGACCCCTCGCCGACTAGGGGAGGGATCAACCATCAATCAAAAGCCGCAGGCACCACCTCTGCCTGAATGGAATAAAGGAAATGGCCTGGACGAGGTTGTTGACTTGGCTAAAATGTTGCGACTGCAGTCACAAGCTTGGTTTTTGGGATTTGTGGAGAGGTTCCTAGATGCCGACGTTGACATTTCAGCTCTTTCAGATAATGGGCAAATAGCAGGAATGCTAACTCAGCTCAAGAGTGTGAATGATTGGTTGGATAACATTGGTTCTATTCAAGAAGGGGTTGAAACAACCGATATTTCAGCGGAGACCATTGACAGGCTGAGGAAGAAGATCTATGAGTATCTTCTCACACATGTTGAATCTGCTGCCGCTGCACTTGGCGGTGGATCACAGTCATCACCTCGAATCCAAACACTAGATACAAAAGTTAGAAAGTGAGTCGTTTAAAGTGTAGTTTGGCTGTGCGGGTTCTGGTGTCTGGCGTTGCATAAATGCAGCACCAAAAGCCACCTAGGAGCTTATTGTGTTAATCTGTGTACATAACTTCAGATGGGGTTTGAGGTATAGATGAAAGGGTTGTTACTTTCGGAAAGGGATCCTCTCCGGATCCCTTCCTTCTAATCCGTCAAATCAAGGGATCCGTGCCATTGAAATTTGATCCAACGGCTACAAATAAGGGTCTACTTCAAAAGTTATAATAACTTCAAACGTTGGATCAAATTTCAATGACACAGATCTTCTGATTTGGTGGATTAGGAGGAAGGGATCCTTTCCGTTACTTTCAGAAGGGAATTTGATTTGAAGTGCGATGTCATTTTTTTGTTCTTCCATCGTTTGATGCAGTTGTCCTTGAAACTTTACGAGATTGAAAAAGATTGGAAAGGGGGAAATTTTTTGTTTCTTACAGCATCAATGCTTGTTTCCAGATTTTATGAAGCATTGAAATTGTTTCTACACATTGGGGATTCTGTTTAGCCTTCCAAAATCAATCGATTGGCCTCTTTCTACTTTTTATATCTTTTTTAGCGCAAATCGTGGATTGCACTAGTGGTAGCCTTTCTCTTCAATTGACCACCACGCTTCGTGTTCAAACCCTCTTCTTCTCTTTGATGTAGATTAGCTTGTATCAAAAGGTTCCTTGAGAGAAGTAGAGGAACTGATAAACTTATGAATGGGGGAAGGAATTAGTTGATCCCTTCCTGGATTTTAAGGGTATTTGATTATAGATTTAATACCTTTACAGTGCATTTGTTTGCACTCTCTAACATTCATTGGACTAAATATGTCATGCCCCAAAAACGGGCACATAACAGCGCCACGCTTTATTAGTAACGCAATATTATAGTGTTAAAATCCACTACAACACTACATTCCTAATAGAACGTAAGGTTATTTGAGGGGGATAAAATAATTTATTTTTAAGCAGTACTAAAGCGGAAATCATTTTGGTAAAATGAAGAATGAAAGGGCAATGGAATTTGGATAAACTTTTTACATCAAAAACAAAGTTTACAACAAAACCAAAGAGTTAAAGGTAATCATCATACTAAACCAACTCTTTAGTAGGATTTGGAAAGTACAAAGTGCTAAGTTTGTCTACAAAAGATTCATTGAAGACGGTAAGGGAATCAAGCATATGTACGAACCAAAAACCTATGGATAGTCAATGAGCGATTAAGAAGTTGACAAGTAACAAACAACGCTTGTCCCGACTTTAGTCCAAATCGTCTATTTGTAGGTGCACTGGTCCTGTAATAAAGTAGGGGTGAGCATCAAAAACGTTCATCGCTCCCCCTCAGGGAATCCACCCCAACAAGGTTTGAAAATAGTATACGACACTACATATACTATAGAAAAATGATTGATGCACAACAATAGCTTTGTTTAGTTTTGAAAATACATTGTATGCTCACACAATTTCCTTCTAAAAAGAAAACAAGGATCCCAATAAATCACCACATGCCAGATGACTGGTCCAATGACCAAGTACCCCCTTACCTGGACCAACTCCGAATGAACATACTTATGGCAAGGTGTAGCGAGAGTGTCCTTTAATGCTCTACCCTTAGATATCCTAGTACCTCTCCTAGAAAGGTAGCGGTACTAATCCCTTAGTAGTAGCACTTCTGGAGGTTTAAGGGATTGAAACCCAAGGCGGTCGCTATGCCCCCTTCACTCTCAAGTCATCACTTTAATTTGTAGCATAAAACAACATGCATATCATGATATAAAACAAAACCATTTTTCCTCATGGTTCTATCACAACAAAATATATGCAGCTTTCACAGGCATTTGTATATTTACATAAACATACATTCACAAAATTCCATAACTAGGGTAAGTGAGGATTCCCCTACCTGGTCTCCAAGCCAAGCAATCAATATTCCTCACCAATACCTCGATTAAACACAAGCACAACGAGTAATTGGAGTCCCTAGTTCAACAAACATCCATTACTGCAACTCATTTGTTCCATACAAACATCCATTAAAATCTAAATTCGAAGTATTTCGAATCAAACATCTTATTCCTCTATATCTCATTCAAATGAAACTTGTATAAAATCCCATCAATTTGATTATGCGTAAATCTTTACCTTAATGTGTCAGAAATCATTCTCCAGTCATCAAATAGGCTTCAAAGCCCTTAAATCGTGCAAGAACAAGCTTAAAATCGAAGATTTGAGTCTAATTAGTCACAAATCCCAATCTGAACGAATTATTCGAATTAAGTAATAATTCTCAAAATTTACCTTCGAACATTAGTTTCGCTTCACTGAGCATGTAGGAGAAAACCGTTCCTTAGTCGGATCCCTGGATTGAAAATTATGAAATTCGAAAGATTGAAGGAAAATTTTTCCTTTTGTTATTTTCATTTCAGCTTGAAGCACTAAACGAGGAAGAATATTTATAATCTTCCAAGCTTGCCGCCTCACCTCTTCAATTTCAGGGGTCCAATAGGTGCTTGGCATGTGTCAAGCAATATGGAAATCTAATCTCTTTTCCTTTTGCCTTGTTCTTATCTTTCGGTTCTTATAACCATGTGTTGTCATGGTGTATTGACACCACCATCTACCCTTTCCTTGCTTGTCGTTTCAGCTGTTGTCCACGTGGCAAGTCATCCATACCTTGGCGTCCACGTGGCGTTCCAACATTCATTCGGCTTTAAATCTCATAAAAAATTCATTCGAGCTCCGAAAAATAATTCAAAAAATGCTACAAACTCGTGATCCCGCCTACTTTCAACCTATCACTTCAAAATAACCCTTGATCTCATGTAAAATTATCACCCATTCAAAATGAATTGTAAATTGTAAAATTCGAAGATACTTCAAAATTCATAACAGCACTTTCTAAGTACTTTAAAAATTCAGGGTCTCACAAAATATTAGGACAATCCCATGTTTGTTTGTTACAAGGACTAACTTAAGTGAGACTAGGTGGGACTTGCAAGGACTAACTTAGCGAAGCCCCCCAAAATCGGGCGGATTGCTAAGACTAGATCTTCTTCGCTCTTCCCCGCTTTGTTCTTGTTTTCTTCTTCTTGGAAAATTGTGACGACCCGTCCTGAATTATTATATATTTTCTCCTCGATAGCTTGGAAATGACAATGTTGCCCTTGAAATGTTGTAATACGATTGTGTAATTGGGCTAAAGGAAATGACCAACCGTCATATCTCCCACAAATTTGGACTCAATTAGATTTTGGGTTTGTTTTAGATTGATTTTCTTTTGCCCTAAACCTCATGGCCCGATTAGGGCCTTGGTTCTTTTATTTTGGCCTATCCCGTGGCTCACACACACATACATGTGCAAACATCTACTTCTCCCTCTTTCTCAAACTCTCTCTCTCCGTACACTTAAACTCATAAATCTCAAATCCTTCCAAAACCTCACAGATCGTCTCTAACTTAGTCACCATCATCTTCCTCTTGACTCCACGAGCCTATCTATATCTGTAGTTGAGAGAGCAATTGATGGGGAACAAGGGATACCCGAGCTCCGGTGAGGACTGAAATTAGCTCTGGCGTGATTGAGGGTGTTTCACTTAGTTTTGAGGTTTAGTAAGGTTATTACTCAACTTATCTAACATGTTAGACTATTTTTGGTTAAGTTTGGACGTCGATATAAGCTTGGTAGTGGGTTTGCAGAGTAGCCGATTTTTCAAGGATTTTTCCGGTCATTTTCTGTTGAATTTAGGACCACAAATCGGTAAGAACGTACTCTTCTCATTCAGGGCTTCAATTTGATATAAAATTCATGAAATTTGGTGTTGAAATGACGGAGATATTGAGATTCAAAGTTTTTCCAGAAACGGGCAAGTGCAGCGGCGGCCGACGACGGATTCTGGCTAACCACCGGAGAAGACAAAGCATATTCCGTCAACTTTGACGGAATATTCTTAACGGCATCAGGTATATTTAACGAAAATTCTATTTTTAACAGAATATTCCCTAACGGTGTTAGGGTTACCGTCAGCATACCAGGCATGTGCTTGCGCATGGCCGGCGCGTTAGGTCGCATGGGACATCAGAAAATTATTCTAAAAATATGGGGATGCTTGTGGTGTTAAGTAGGCCACAATGGTATATTCAAACACCCCAATTGAGCAACATATGAGAAGTTATTTCATAGTGATGGTTATGTGCTTTAAAATAACGTTAAAATAGTTGTTTCGCATATAGGTGAGACATTTGCAGAGGATGAGCACAGCCAGGCGAGACTAAGGGGTTACGATGCGGTTACATACCAATGAGTGGGCTTTTTGGTTTTATATATATACATATATATGCCTTATGTTTCCCATAAACTGTTTAAATGGTTTTTACGTTTTAAATTCCATGCCGTATGCATTATATATTAGTATATTGTATAATATAGCTGTGCATATTCCTGTTCGACACCGTGGACGCTCAGGTAAGCTTCAGGCGAGTATATAATGATGGTTGTGATGGTAGTGTGTATGATTATGATGAGTTGCTTTTAGTGATTTATATCCTGCACCCCAGTGCTAGTGCTTTGCTCGAAGACAAGGCCTAACCTTCACGTGATCGTTCACCTCCCGCACCACACGCTCACCTTGGATCTAAGGTAGGGGCCAGCTTGTCGTACAAACCACATTAGGTGGTTCCGACTCGTAGGTGACTTGCAATACTTCGCACAGCCTTCACGTGATTGTAGCACTTGAGCGTACTTATTTACACTTAGCTTGTCGTACAGACCACATTGGTGGTTTCGACTCGTGTGCAGGATTTGATTTGATTGTTGAGTTATAGATTCAACTGTACAGGTCACGTTAGGTGACTCTGGCTGATATGTCACTTTATATTAGTGCAATTTACCCCACTTACTTATTCATGGTTGAGATGATTGTCATGGCATTCACATGGTTTGTTATTCTCGAGTATAGTTTGCATATATGTTTACAGTATTATTTTCTGGGAAACTTATACGGGTTGTACAGTGATGGGTTATTATATTTGAAAAGATAAATGGTTTTGAAAAGTTTTGTTTTTTGCCCACTCACACTTTTTGTTTTACGCCCCTCCAGGTTCTAGACAGAAGTTCGTGTTTGCGGCTCACGAGGACTTCACGGTGGATTCTGACAGACATCCACCAGTGTAGGGTTTCTTTTATGATCTGTACAATTAGTAATTAGACTTTTGGACTGCATCCTGATACCTACGCTCCCGTTATGTGTGTCCTTTACTCTAAACATTTACACTCGTACTTATATGCTAGTCTAGTGTAAATTAGTTAGTAGGTTTTTGTTTATCCATATTTTCATATCACGCTTACTTCCGCACAGCGCACATGGCTACATCATCCTCTCGTGACAGCCAGCATGCCTCGATTGGGGTCGGGGTGTGTCAAAAACTCCTTCGTGCGAGGTCCCCTTGGATATGTGGTCTGTACAGGCGAAGAACATCGACATAAGCTCTTTTCTACTCATAAACTTGTTTTTTGAGAAACCCATTTCCCGGGTTTGCGTTGAAGACGAGAAGGATTTCGAGATTGGGATCTTGAATTTGAGGTGCAGGATTTCGTCTAGTAAGTCCGTGTAGGCAAAAAGCATGGCCGAAGCCATTTTCTACTCATAAAATTATTTTCTGAGAAATCCATTTTGTGGGTTGGTGTTGAAGACGAGAAGAATTTCAAGACTAGGGTCTTGAATTTGAGGCGCATGATTTCGGATTATTTTTCTTATTTGCAGAATGCAAGCCTCCAAAGATGGCTGAAGATTTTCTCAAATCACCACCTCTCAAGGTTTTTTTTTTGTGTGTTAATCTGGTTGGTTGTTAAGAAAATTTGATGGGAAAGATTGAAAATTCAAGATTTTGATTCCTTGGTATACTGTGCATATCTGATATTTTTTATTTATAGGGTGCATTTTAGTTGTTTAGACAAAAACAAAAAAAAAATGGAAAGTTTTTACAATTAAAAAATAAAAATTAGTCCTATCTAATCCGGCACTGCACCAAACGCTTTCACAATTCTAGTATTTCTTAGTCTATACCAAGTCAATCCAGCTTAGTCCCTGAAGCTAGTCCAATTCGAGATAGTCCGGTACAACAAACGCACATTGAACTATCTCGAACTGGACTAGCTACGCTTCACAATTCTAGTACTACTTAGGGTGTGTTTGTTGCACTGGACTATCTCAGATTAGACCTCATGGCACCACGTTGCAAGTATTGAAGTCCTTACCCTAAGATCCGGGGCAAGGCACGAAGAAGTTAACCTCCGCCTACACGATGTTATCAGGTATGATTGAAACTCTTATATTCGATAAGTGTGTTATAATAAGTGCAGGAGCAAAAGTGTTCTCATGGGTTTAATGCCTAATTCCTGGTACTGGAATAAGGTGGTAGTCCAGATATCGCAATGAGAATACTTCATGAATACTGAGTTTGGGAGGCAACATTCCCCCCAAATCAACGGTGCCAAGGGAGCAGATATGCTCTGTCACAGGCCCACAAACTTACTCATGTTTGGCTCCGCCACTTATTTCTCAAACAAAGTTTGCTTGCTTTAGAGAAATTTTTCGAATTAAGCTTTCCCAAACTAGAGAAAGAATAAAAGAAAGAGACTGGTATTACGACAAAAAGTTGCAAAAGGGATAGGCTATTTTCCTAGCCAGAAACAAGTGCAATTCAATCCTCTTTTGGAACATCTTTTTCCTTGAATGTAGTAGAAGACTCGCCAGGGGCATCATGTTCTAGGTTATTTTCAAGATTACGTTCCTCTTGCTCTGCCTATTACCCCACCTCTAGATCCAACATCTCAACCAACAAATGTTGTGGAGAAGGAAAGTCCATGTGTTTGATCTCCTTATAAATTCTGAAGACACTCTAAACCCTAAACCCTAAACCCTAAGATCCTCAACTTCATTTTGAAGAGCTTCTTGTTCCTTAGCCCAAGCATTTTGCTCCGAAGCTAACGTACGCTCTGACTCTTCTTTTAAGACAACGAGAGCATGGTTTGACTCCGCCTTAGTCCTCATCTCCGGCCCTAGCTCGTCTCTAACCTTTTCAAAACTTTCCTGGTAATTCTTGGCCTTTACCTCTTCAATAGTAACAAGGCTGATGTATCAAATTACTTCTGGCTTATGAGCAGAATCTGAGGCTTGCTGCCTAGCATATGCGCTCTTGAGTTCTTCCGATTGGGCTAGCAACCATTATTTTGCTTATATCCTCATTGTTGTTTCAAGGCCCGTAATTTGTTCAAATTCCTAGATCCGTCTTACTTGTCGGAACAAGGCGACCTCCGTCCACACTTTACCCTAAATATGTGAGGTATATTAGGGGGAATTTGTGAATATCAACAAAGAGAAATGGAGGAAATTAAGTCAAATACCTCGTAAGAACTCTCGTAGCACTGCGTCATGACATCTTCAAGAGAAGTGC